GAAGTATAACCATAATAAGTCGGTTCGACTCGTAGCAATGCAACAAACATTGAATGAAAGAAGTGTTTAAAAGTCGAGGAAGAAGTCTTATTCCTCCGAGTCTTCCTGGAAGAGCGAAACGTTTGTTTTTTGTTTGTTTGTTTTCTTTCACCTGCAGCTTCCCCGGAAATGCCACCTACCTTCTCTTCTCTCTTCAAGCTTTTGTTTGCCAAAGCACTCTCGATGAAGTTTCGAAATATAAATGAATTCCCATGGGTGAAAAAAAAAAAGAATGTTTTCGGACACCGAAAAAGGTGGTAAATCCATAAATAAGTGAGTGAATAAATAACGAAGAGAAGAAGGTAATATTGAGGACAAGTGCAGGTACATTTTCGCACCGGCGTAGCAAAAGTCTTTTTTGTCGAGAATAATAGTAATAAAGAAAAAAAAAATGTGTGAAAGTCGTAAAGTTTCCGGGAATTCCGAAGCCGATCTTTGATTTATTGATCTCCGATATTGTGTGTGCACCTTCCGAAAGTCGGCAACTTGAGTTGTTCTTCGACCGAACAACAAGAAAAATTCGTATCTTCGGTTGAAAGTCTTTGGGATTTTGTCGCGAAACTTGTCGATTTTTTTTTTGAGATGAAGACACAAAAAGGTGAAGAGAATGTCGGGTAATAAATGGTGAGGGGGGATTAAACGCATTAAAAACTAGTTAACACGTGAGAAGAAGTGGTGAGAGAGAGACCTTCATCATCGTGCGTTAATTTCGAAGCGAAATTTTCCCATGTAACGACCTTTATAATAAGAGAGCTGCGAAGCGTGGAAAAATCTGCACAGAACAAAAGGGAAAAAGAAACAAAAATTCGGAGCTTTTGATTATGCAAAGGGGGAAAACAAATGTAATCTTGAGTTGAGTGTACTAAGTTTAGAATATATTTTATAAACTATACCTAATTAGAAATATTACTAATTCATTTTTAACTTTGGAATAAAAAATTGTTGCAAAATTTGTAATTTGAAAAATCAACTTATTAATGAGATTCATTTTTGGCAATTATTTTGTAATTTATAATAAGAAAAGAAGTTGTAATCAGAAATGTTTAGTTTGTAGTGTTAATTTCGAGTGAAAACGTTTTGAAAATGAATGATTTAATTTTTGTCCAATTGAAATTTTCGGACACAAAAAATGAAATCTTGAGAAAGTTCAACTATAATTATAGTATTTATCAACTATACTTAATAAGAACAATTACTTAACAGATTCTTAAATGTGTAGTGCACATAAAATGGAAAAAAGAACATTGATTTGTGTAAAAAAATGGGACAAAAATAAATTAACTTTGGAATAATTGTTTCAAAGTTTTAATTGGAAAATTGGATTTTTGGTAATGATTTTGTAAATTATGATTAGAAAAAAAGTTGTAATCAAAAATTTGAATTTGTGGTGTTAATTCTGAGTGAAAACGATTTGAAAATGAACGTTTGAATTTTTGTCCACTTTTGTCCAATTGAAATTTTCGGTTGCAAAAATTAAATCTTGAGAAATTTCAAGTATAATTATTGTATTTATAAACTATACTTAATAAAAACTATTACTAATAGATTCTCAAACGTATAGTGGACATAAAATGGAAAAAAAGAACATTGATTTGTTTAAAAAAAAATGGGACAAAAAATTTGAACTTAGGAAAAATAAATTGTAAGAAAATTTGCAATTAAGAAAATGTAATAAGTTGATTTATTTTGGCAATTTTGTTGTAATTTATAATTAGAAAAGAAGTTGTAATTAAAATTTTTAATTTTTAGTGTTAATTACGAGTAAAAACGAAAATAAAAGTATGATTTTTGTCCACTTTTTTCAAATTTTTAAAGTTGAAGCACAATTATTGCATTTGTAAACTGTTTCTAATTAAGAACTATTACTAATAGATTCGCAAATGTATAGTGGACATGAAATGGAAAAAATTAAGAACATTGATATTTGTTATAAATGGGACAAAAAAAGAACAACTTTCGAACAATAAAATTGTTGAAAAATTTGTAATTAGAAAAATCTAATAAGTTGATTTCTTTTGCCAATCTTTTTGTAATTTATAATTCGAAAAGAAATTGTAATTAAAATTACTTAATTTGTAGTATTAATTTCGAGTAAAAACGATTTGAAAAGGAACGTTTGAATTTTTGTCCACTTTTTTGTCCAATTGAAATTTTCAGACGCAAAACATGAAATTTTGAGAAATTTCAAGTAAAATTTTTGTATTTATAAACTATATTTATTAAGAACTATTACTAATAGATTCTCAAACGTATAGTGAACATAAAATGAAAAAAAGAACATTGATTTTGACTTTGGAAAAATAAATTGTTGAAAAATTTGTAATTAGAAAAATCTAATAAGTTGATTTCTTTTGGCAATCTTTATGTTATTTATAATTAGAAAAGAAATTGTAATTAAAATTACTTAATTTGTAGTATTAATTTCGAGTGAAAACGATTTGAAAATGAACGTTTGAATTTTTTTCCACTTTTTTGTCCAATTGAAATTTTCAGACGAAAAAAATGAAATTTTGAGAAATTTCAAGTAAAATTATTGTATTTATAAACTATATTTATTAAGAACTATTACTAATAGATTCTCAAACGTATAGTGGACATAAAATGGAAAAAAAAAGAGAACATTGATACGTGTTATAAATGGGACAAAAAAAGAACAACTTTCGAATAATAAAATTATTGAAAAAATTGTAATTAGAAAAATCTAATAAGTTGATTTCTTTTGTCAATCTTTTTGTAATTTATAATTAAAAAAGAAATTGTAATCAAAATTACTTAATTTGTAGCGAAAACGATTTGAAAATGAACGTCCGAATTTTGTCTACCTTTGTCCACTTTTGTCCAATTCAAATGTCCGGATGCAACTGTTGCGAATATCTCTGTTTGATTGTTGTGATTGTTGGATATTCGCAGAGGGGAGATGATGTTCGGTACTTTCCATTCAATTTCGTCGGGATAATGGCTAAACGGCTTTGATTTGTGTTTGCAAACGAAAGATTTATCGGATTTTCGTGAGCTGAATGGAAATCCGGTTTAAAACGTCCAAATTCGGTTAACAACAATGATAATAATGGTGATAATGGTTTTGGGGGAAAAAAAAGGGAGAGAAGAGAAGAAAAGAAAAAAAGGACAGTCGTTCAGCTGCTGCCCCCAGAGCCTGCTCTGACCACCCACCGTCTGACAATTGAACGTCGACCCCAAAAATATCTGCTGTGCATAGGCACGTGTCCAGATGCGCGCACCTTTTATCCATTCTTCGTGGGAAATTCGCGAGGTGAAAGTGCGCACAAAGAGGAGGAGCGACCATCATCATCATCATCATCAACTTCTACATCGTCGTCTACTACGTGAAGCGGACTCCGCCCTTCTTCCAAACTACATATTACATATTCAGCTCGGGTATCTCGTCTCCTCGATCCCTTTCTCATTAAAATAATTTATATAGTAACCTTACACCACGCCACTGATCTTCACCGACCGAAGCAACGATAAAAAAAAACAAAAACAAAAAAGCAACAACCCAAACTAGGCGACTCGACCACAGCCTCGTTTTAATTTACTCTCGCGAGATTGAATTGGAAAATTTAAAATGAAAACGAGCTTAATAACACATCTATTGCTAATTGATTTCCTCTCTCGGCAATTACAGGTGAATTAAGAAACGTGAATAATTACAATGAAATAGAGGAGATGAGTGGATGAAGAAGAAAAACGTAGATAGGCTTTGATTGGAATTAAGTGGAGGAGGACAATTAACGGATCGAAAACGTGTTCGATAAATAAAATTCTATTCCCATGCCTTCTAGGATCCAGGAGAAAACCGTACAATATTCGTTGTGCTTTTGTTTTTTTGTTTTATTGTCTCTCCAGCGCTTGTTTATTTATATTCGTAGATTACGCTCATCTACTCTACTCGGTGACTTAAGAGGGAATTAAGTAACTTTTCTGACTCACCAAAGAATTATTCGAAACATCTTCTCATCATTACACACTTTGATGTGTTTCAATCTTTGTTAATACGCAAGAAAAATTTCAATAATTTGAAGTTATCTCATGAACATTTTTTTGTATTGATAAGAAAAAAAAATTGATCGTATCGAAAACGTTGATGACCTAAATAATATGTAGCGTTTTTTTTTGTTGTTGTTTGTTTAATTTTTTTTAATAATTAATCGTAAACTTTGTTGTTATTAATTTGTTAATAAACGAATAATATGAATATGCAAATCGGCAATTAGCAGCAGAAATCACCGATTTGTTTGCTTTTAATTACGAAATCAAGCAAAAGAAGAAAAAAAACGAAAAATTATTATTAACTTTTATTTGTTAATTGAAAAGTCTAAGATCGTAACTCTTCCACCACTATTGACACAATATGTTAATGAGTCTCGGATTCTTCGACATTTCTAGTATTTGTCTTGTAATTTATATGGAATGTATTAAAACAGACAAATGTTTAAATTTAGTTATGATGAACCAAAAAAAAAAATAAAGTTGTGTTTTTTTCAAGAAAATGTACTCGAAAATCGTTTAAGAAAATAAGGCTAGACGTTTCTTAATTATATTTTGACGTTATTAATAATAATAATAATATCATTTTTTATTTGTGGCAATAAACAACAAAGTTTTCACAATAAAACACGAGTAGCTTTTGTGTATCTTTTATTAATCAATAATCCACTCGAGATGCGCGACCTTCGCGGTTTTCTTTTTGTTATTGTTGTTGTTGGAATCTTCGATTCTCGTTTTAACGACGACGTTAATTTAACGCTTGATTAGTTTTTTTTGTTGTCTCGAAGCTAATTACAAAACATCAATAATTTTGAGTAAAAATGTTTGATGCAAATACAATTTTGAACACGTTTTATCAATAAATTTTTCGATATATTTTTAGCTGCATTGATAAAAATTTATCTCGGAATTGGAAAAAATTATTAAAAATTTTCTGTGATCGAAGTCAGTCGTGTACGATTGTCTCGTTGTGCGAGATGCGCTTTTTTATTTCCCCGAAGACGTAAACTGCCCATTTTCTAAATATTTTGGACCCTGCCAGGACCAAAAATGCGTTCTACATTCGGCACAGATTCTTCAGACCAACAACAACAACCAAGGCAAACAAACATTGCTGCAGGTAAAAAAAAAAGTTACAAATTGAATTATAATTTTCAATAAAAATAAGTAAACGTCTCCCCAATAAAAACGTGCCTACGAAAAAATGTCCAACTCATGAGTATTCATTAAATGTAGTTTTTTTTTTAACCCGTAATTAATACTCGGTGGAAGAGACGTGGACGTGTTTTTCTATATACATTTTTTTCTTTCCTCTCTTCGTGTCGTCTTCGAATTAGTCGCGCTCTTTACCTCGTGCGTTTTGAACTGTTTTCGGTTCTTTTTTTCCTAATAATTTCTCTTCGAGTTCATCAGGAAAGGCTTAATTCGGATTAGCTTCGTCCCACGCGAACGTCGAAGTAACCCCTTTGAAATTAATAATAATAACAACGATGGCCGTGGATTTCTTTTGTTTTTACGTAACGCTTACGTAACGACAGTCGCGTGAAAGTTTTCGCGAGACTGTCGGTTTCTCTCTCTCTCTCTCAAATTATTTTATATTTTGAGAAAAAAAAAACGTGTTACGTTTCTCTCCAATTCTATTAAAGGATTCGTTTAAATTGTGTTCGCTTCTAAATCAGGGTCGTAATCACTCACGGAGGTGAGGAATGGTCGTTTCCTAGGCGACTGACGGAAGGGAACAGTTGCCACTTAAAATAACCTCAATTTCGAGAAACAAAAGACGGAAGCGAGGGGGAAAAATGAAAATGTCGAGGGGCGAAAAAAACAGTATCGCCGCGGCGCGCGAGCCTCCTTGATTTATCTGCGGTATCCGAAAGTCGTGTAGCAATTATACGCGCGTTGATTTACGACGGTTATACAATAGCTGTCTGAGGTGGCGGTGATCCTCACTCACTCATTCACTCACTCTCTCTTACTCTCTCTTACTTATTATCCATCTATCGTTCTATCCTTGTTCTCTGGCGGAGACAATGAAATGCGGATGGAGTTGGTGGCATAAATCTCTTGAGGGGTGGAAAAAATAACTTTAAACGAGAATCTATTTTGATTAACATAGCGAATTTCGTAGGTGATTCATGCTAATTACTCAGAACAAAATGAATTGATGATGATAATAATAATTTAGGAGCGCAATCTGCGTTCCCCGCACGCTCCGCCGCAGATTTCGATAGAGGAATGTTGATAGATAGATAGAAATGATAGTTAGATAGACACCGATACAGTTCCCATTGTTCCCAATCCCTTATCTTACACACTACACACTCATTCCGCGCTATTTCAGAGTGCATTATTAAATGGTCACTCCGCAGATAAGGTACGGTGCGTGTCGTGTTTATGTGCATTCATCATCCATCCATCCATCAAGCAAAACACTAAACGTCGAAACAGTTACGAGCTAAAATCTAGTCTAAATGAGCCGTAATGAAGCCGAGACGCAACTATTATGGACGTTCATTTGGTACATCTACGGTATTTACTTCATATTTTCACTCAATTTGTGTTTTGTTTTGCGTTGCCATGGATTTTTGAAGCGTGTCAAGGTTTACAAAAACAAATGACATAACAACCGAACTATTACTACCACTATAACAACTAAACGGAAATAAAATTGTTTATAGTATGGTGCGTGCTTTATCGGATCCAATTCCGGAAATTCCCAGTTTTTTTTTCAAATGCAATTAATATGTGTGCGATATTTGTTTTTCTCGCGGTGCACTTAATTTTTGCATTTCGTAATGGTGTTTTGTTTTTTTGTTTTTGTTTTTATGATAAATATCAGCCGACGCGATATCGATCGTCTCTGTTTTATATTTGTAAACTACTTCCGAAATCACAGTTTTTTGTCAATTAGATGTAAACATTACGCAATTGTTTAGATTGATTGCTTGATTTGATTTCTAATTAAAGTGTGCAATTGAATATTCCAATTTCTATGTACTTGAGTATAATTTTTTGTTTATTAAATTTACACGATAATAAAACTGTTTCAAAGAAAAATATTAAAGTCGAATAATAATTACAAGGTTTTTTTGTATTTTCAATGCGACATTGAACTTCATCTTCTCATTTTTTTGCATTATGTAAATATTTCCGAAAAATAGTAATAAATTGATTGAAACACTCAGTCTAGAGAAATTCCTAGAAAATGTAACATTAAATTTCATAAAATATCGAAATAAACGTCAATTTTTATGAGAGTGAAAAACCCATGTAATTTTAATTTTGTAAAACGAAATCTAGGAATCTGGGGATTAAAAAAAAATACGAAAGATTCCGTGAAATCAGATAATTATTTGTTAATAATCAGCTTTTGTTATTTTTGACATAATATTTTTGTTTGTTTACCGAAAATATGTCACTTAAATGTCATTTGAGACGTCAAATTGAAGTTTAATTGACAGATGACAAGTGTCATAATTGTGTGGAAATTGTTGAAGTAAATATTTCCGAAAATAATAAATGTAGTATTGAAACTTGTTGATTTTTGATTCTGACAAAAGTCTAGAGAAATTCGTAGAAAATGTAACATCTAATTTCATAAAAAATATCGAAATAAACGTCAATTTTTATGCGAGTGAAAAATCCATGTGAAATTCAAATTTTGTAAAACGAAATCTAGGAAAAAATGACATAATTACGAAAGATTCCGTGAAATCAGATAATTAGTTTTTAATAATCTGCGTTTTGCTATTTTTGACGTAATATTTTTGTTTCTTTACCAAATATATGTCAGTTAAATGTCATTTGAGACGTCAAATTTAAGTTTCATTGACAGGTGACAAGTGTCATAATTGTTTTTATTTTTTTTGTTTAACAACGGACTTCTTTGATTTCCGTGGAAATTCTCGAAGTAAATGTTTCGGAAAATACTAAATGTAGTATTGAAACTTGTAGATTTCTGATACTGAAGAAATTTACACGAATAAACATAATATTTGCATTAGTTGTTAATAATCTGCGTTTTGTTATTTTTGACGTAATGTTTTTGTTTGTTTACCAAAAATACGTCACTTAAATGTCATTTTCATAATATCACTTAAATGTCATTTGAGACGTCAAATTGAAGTTTTATTGACAGGTGACAAGTGTCATAATTGTTTTTATTATTTTTTTGTTTCATAACGGACTTCTTTGATTTCCGTGGAAATTGTCGAAGATCCTTCGCCTCGAAGGATTTCGCGCGAACGCTCTTTAAACGGAATCAACACGACTTATTACGAAATCCTCTTTATCGCACATCCTCGTACCGCGAATAAAAAAATAATAATATAATAAACCGTTCCTCTTGCCTCTTGTCGCACGAGGGATTCCTGGTAGATCACGTTTCTGCATTCCGCTGGATCGCATTTCTTTCGCCGCAATTTCCATATTTCCATCATTATCTTTTAGTTTAGTGCGCGAATTTTCAATTCGCAGATGATATCGATGATAAAGATCAATTTGTAACCTTGATTCATTAATTCGTTTTGTTTTATTATTGATTTAGGTTACATTAATTGACGTTTATTGATTGACATTTGTCAAACGTCAAAGTGTTTCTTCTGTTTCGCATTTGAATTCATTAATTTAGGTTATATTAATTGACGTTTATCGATTGACATTTGAAACGTCAAAGTTGTTGTTCTGCAATGAACGGTGGATCTCGTATGACATGGGGGAGGACTGTTGTTTCGCGCGAAATTCCCCCACAAGAACTAAACGATTCCGTTTAAAGAGTGATAACTGGAATAACTGGAGAGAAATAGACGTGAGAAGCTTACGTAAGCGTGTGTTGATAACACCACAGGTGCTGCGATTTTTCTTCATTAAAAGTGTCGAAACGATAAAATAAAAGTAAGTTCTGTGAACGTGTTTTGATTATGACCAAATTCGGTCGGCACGGAAATTTTGAACGTCGCTCTTCGGGATAATTATTAAGTGAGATTTGGATCACCAGATAAAAATGCAAGAAGGAAGCCCGTTAATTCCCCATTTGCATATTATCAGAGCCGTCGCTTCGATCCGATGATTTCTTTAAAAATAACAAAATAAAATCACAAAAATAATGTCACTTAAATGTCATTTGAGACGTCAAATTGAAGTTTCATTGACAGGTGACATAATTGTTTTATTTTTTTTGTTTTATAACGGACTTCTTTGATTTCCGTGGAAATTGACGAAGTAAATATTTACGAAAATACTAAATGTTGTATTGAAACTAATAGATTTTTGATTCTGAGGAAAGTCTAGAGAAATTCGTGGAAATACCGTGAAATCAGATAATTAGTTGTTAATAATCTGCGTTCTGTTATTTTTGACGTAATACTTTTGTTTGTTTACCGAAAATATGTGACTTAAATGTCATTTTCATAATATCACTTAAATGTCATTCGAGACGTCAATTTGAAGTTTCATTGACAGGTGACAAGTGTCATAATGGTTTTGTTTTATAACGGACTTCTTTGATTTCAGTGGAAATTAACGAAGTAAATATTTCCAAAAATACTATATGTAATATTGAAACTAATAGATTTTTGATTCTGAGGAAAGTCTATAGAAATTCGTGGAAATACCGTGAAATCAGATAATTAGTTGTTAATAATCTGCGTTTTGTTATTTATGACGTAATATTTTTGTTTGTTTACCGAAAATATGTCACTTAAATGTCATTTTAATAATATCATTGGAGACGTCAAATTCAAGTTTCATTGACAGGTGACAAGTGTCATAATTGTTTTTGTTTTATAACTGATTTCTTTGATTTCCGTGGAAATTGACGAAGTAAATATTTACGAAAATACTAAATGTTGTATTGAAACTAATAGATTTTTGATTCTGAGGAAAGTCTAGAGAAATTCGTGGAAATACCGTGAAATCAGATAATTAGTTGTTAATAATCTGCGTTTTGTTATTTATGACGTAATATTTTTGTTTGTTTACCGAAAATATGTCACTTAAATGTCATTTTAATAATATCATTGGAGACGTCAAATTGAAGTTTCATTGACAGGTGACAAGTGTCATAATTGTTTTTGTTTTTAACGGACTTCTTTGATTTCCGTGGAAATTGTCGAAGTAAATATTTCCTAAAATACTAAATGTAATATTGAAACTAATAGATTTTTGATTCTGAGGAAAGTCTATAGAAATTCGTGGAAATACCGTGAAATCAGATAATTAGTTGTTAATAATCTGCGCTTTGTTATTTTTGACGTAATATTTTTGCTTGTTTACCGAAAATATGTCATTTTAATAATATCACTTAAATGTCATTTGAGACGTCAAATTGACAGGTGACAAGTGTCATAATTGTTTTGTTTTATAACTGATTTCTTTGATTTCCGTGGAAATTGACGAAGTATATATTTCCTAAAATACTAAATGTAATATTGAAACTCGTAGATTTTTGATTCTGAGGAAAGTCTATAGAAATTCGTGGAAATACCGTGAAATCAGATAATTAGTTGGTAATAATCTGCGTTTTGTTATTTTTGACGTAATATTTTTGCTTGTTTACCGAAAATATGTCACTTAAATGTCATTTTAATAATGTCACTTAAATGTCATTTGAGACGTCAATTTGAAGTTTCAAGTGTCATAATTGTTTTGTTTTATAACTGATTTCTTTGATTTCCGTGGAAATTGACGAAGTAAATATTTCCTAAAATACTAAATGTAATATTGAAACTAATAGATTTTTGAGTCTGAGGAAAGTCTAGAGAAATTTGTGGAAATACCGCGAAATCAGATAATTAGTTGTTAATAATCTGCGTTCTGTTATTTTTGACGTAATATTTTTGTTTGTTTACCGAAAATATGTCACTTAAATGTCATTTTAATAATATCACTTAAATGACATTTGAGACGTCAATTTGAAGTTTCAAGTGTCATAATTGTTTTGTTTTATAACTGATTTCTTTGATTTCCGTGGAAATTGACGAAGTATATATTTCCGAAAATACTAAATGTAGTATTGAAACTTGTAGATTTCTGATTCTTTGAGGAAAGTCCAGAGAAATCAGATAAATACATTATTTCATTTGCTTCGATCCGATTTGATTTCTTTAAAATAAAATTAAAAAAATAAAATCACTTCTTCCTTCGAATGTTATTGTTATTGGTTGGCAATTGCGAAGATCTTCCGGGAAGCGAGTCTCGGAATTTACGTATAGAGCACGGAATTCCTTTACCTCCGACGAGTGTCTCAATATATGTGATATAGTCTTCGATTCTTCTAGTTTGTGTTATTCCGGTGATTTCCAATAGAGGACGGGGGCGTTATCTAAACATTGCGTTTGCGAAATCACACACACATCCAGCGAGAGGAGAATCACATCCAGCGTGCACCTCCGTACATATCTTATTAGTTCGGAGCCATCAAGTGCGCAAGTATGAGTAACGAACTAACTATCCTCCACCATGACAACTTATCATCTGTAAGACTACAATTTTTATTACTCTTTTTTTGTTCAATACACATCACTTCTCTGCGCTAATTATTCGTGTACTTAAAGGCATCAAGTGCGCTTTGACGCCGACGAAAGGCGCGTCACCGTTCTTCCATAGATTATTCATACAAATTTCTTTTTGGCTTTACTTTGTGACAAAATTACCAACAGATTCGTTCGGATCCTCTTAAACTGGTCGCATTTTTTTGTTTTTGTTTTTGTTAAATTACAATTTGAATCGTCTTTCGAAGTGCACACGTTGTTCCCATTGGTCGCGTGCAGAACGAAAAGAAAGAAAAAAAGTAGAGACGGAGTGTGTGTGTGTATAGATATAATATGCAAGATATATAAACGCGAGTCGGCAGTGTGAAATCATCATTACTAACTATGCTGTTAATCGTAAAACATATACAAACAACAACAATAACATCAAAGAGTGCGGTAATTATAGTTTTGGGTGATTTTCATCTGTTTTGTTTTTTGTTTTTTGTTTCGTTTCTTCGATCAGTTTGTGCGTGTGATTTTAATTGGAGTTTTCAGTGAGATTCTGAAGAATGAGATCGATGTGGTGGTGGCTCCAACATGATCCCAATCATAAGAAGGTGACACGAATCCTCGAGATTCCATTAAAAACTATACGCGACTCGATTCATCAATCAATTGGTTAAGAGAGTGAGAGAAAAATAACTCAAAACGAAACCGATTAATTGACACAATTTTTCACATCTTCTTTTATAATTAGTAAACTCTAGTTTGATTCAACATTTGTTTTGCTCAAATTAGTTCAATTGTTTAATCTTGATCTAGTAATTAAATTTTATTTTGTTTACTTATTTAAGCATTAATTAGTTTACTAAATTACAATTTGTTTTACGTTTACTTCAAAGTATGACTAAAACTGATGAGCTGAGAGCGAAAGTTGTTTGTGTGTAATAAATAATGACAATCGTCCTCTATATGACTAAAGCAAGCTATGATAACATGAAACAAACGAAATGCCATAGACGTGAATATTGAACAAATTATAGGTAACTATAGAAACAATTAGAAACAAAAACAAATTACAATGGTAACTATGATATTCAAACAAAAGATTGTGGCTGTTAATTAATTAATTGTTGATTGCTAACTATAATAAGCAAGTATAAGCAAATAAATAATAATGATAATACGAAAACAACTAAAAAAAAACCGTGTTGTATTATTATTTTTTTGTAATAATCGTTGTTTACTTTACGTTTCATTCATCATTAACTCGCAGGAATTCCATTTTATGCACGTTCCTCTCTTTCTCGTCCACTATGTTCACTTTTTCGTTTTAAACTTATTAATTGGGATCATTTTTTTGTATTATTATTACGTACAATTTCGCTTATCGCATACCTGAAATTCCTGGACGAAACGTAAAGTTATATAAAAATTGTTTTTCGATACTAATGTTGAATTTTGTTTCTTCTGTTGCAGATTTTCTATAATAACTATACTATCTATGGTGAGTAATTGTTTTTTTTTGTTAACTTTACCGGAGACTTTGTCGCTTCGATATTTAAGGAAGAAATGGAACGAGACTTCTCTTCCATGCAGATGTTTACGTGTAGTCTACTTTTTCTTTCATTCTCTGTCTTTATTTTTTTTTGTGTGTGTGTGTGTTATATATAAAGAAGAACGTAGAATGTGTGGAGTCGACTGAATCGGCGACAAAAGGAGGCATTCACAATGGCCGACGGTCCCGGTTTTTCGCAAACGCCAACACTATTGCAGCGTGCCATGGAAATATATTACTGCATAGAAAAAAAAAATAATTATAGTTTATATAATGAAAATGCGCAGAAAGAAATTCCTAATCCCGAAAGTTAGTAAACTTAAATTAAGTCATCTCGTTTTGTTTTTGCATTTCACTTGTCATTAGAATTAGACGCAAGTCGATAACAAATCTTTTATTATTTCAATCAAAACTTTGATTGTTCTTGTGACGCCATCTATCTGCATTTTCATTGAACTATTTAATTACAATTTGAAATTTATAGTAATTATCAACTACTTTATATCATTTTTATTAACTTTTCGAGTAGCGCCATCTGTGAGTAAAGATTCGCTTACTCTTGTTCCATTGACGTAATGGGAATGTTAATGCATGGTAATTAATTCATTATTATAAGTATGAAAAGCAACGTTTACATCAGTGTCTCTGAAACTGCAATTACGATGAAAATTACATGTTTACATTGATTATGAAACGAGATTATTGATGTTTCGTTTGCATGAAGTTATAATTTACGGTGTTGTGTAAGCAGTGATTGGACAATAATTATAAGATAGCGATCCGAATCGTATCTGTAATGCATATCTTTATCGGCTAATCGATGCGGACGGCGAAGCCAGTAATTAAGCAATTATAATTGTAAATAAAAATGACTAAAATAAAGAGTTTGCTCAATCTTTCGCGTTTTCTTCTCGCTATCTCCGTGATGCGGAGACAGATAACATCTGGACAAGCCCGTCCGTTACGTGCGCGCCATTTAATTGCTTAATAAACGTCTACGTCAACTAATGAATGGAAATCAGTCAGTTTTCCATTTAGTCGAAAATCTATTAATTGCTCTCACACGCAATTCGCGTTCAACTTTGCATAAAATATGGGTTAAATAAGCATTTTCACCGCAATTCAAGTGTTAGTTACTTGAACCGACAACAGATGGCGTCTCTACAATCCTATCAATTAACTACTTGAAACGAGCTACCAATGTTGAATTTCTTACTGTGTATATTTCATTTAAACCATTAGTCATCCGGATTAATTATGCAATTAATAGGTGTCGCCACCACACTTTTGACATGTGTCAGATGATATTTTGCCTCGATCTAATTTCTGGAAACTATTTAAAATACAGTCATTATATTTCTGCTTTGTGCCTTTCTTTCTTTTCGCCGCTCTTTTAATTGGTCCGAAAACGTCTCGGACGTTGAGTGGGGTCCTTTTTCGCTAATTTGCGAATGACCGACTAATTTCACCCCAAGCGGCTTGATTTATTTATCTTCGGGGGAACGGCCGAAATTGAATCATCACAGTACATTTTGATAATTATATGGTCCCAAAAGTTAAACGCTTTTTTTTAAACCTGTGTGGTAAAACCTAAATTAGCTAGCGCCATCCATAATTGCTCAAGTGAAGCATTATCTTTTGTTTATTTTAACTTGTCGAATATGTCAATTTCGTCGCCATCTGTTGTAGGTAGATGAAGTAAATTTAGTGGTGATGCAGGTCGTGCGTGTTGCGCGTTTGCCGATGTTCATTTCTCTTCTGCTTCGTCCTTTTTGTCGATGTCGAGGATGCTAATTGAACGGCGCGCGGAGGAAGATTGATGCGTGCAATTTGCGCATAATGGGCGATTTTTCAATCGTCGACGATAGAGATATGCCGGTTTTATGCGTGCGTGCATGTCTACGACAAATTGGAATTAAACAAACTAATCGCGCGCTCCTTTTTCAGTCCTTAAGCTTCTCCTTCTTAAGTTAATCGATTCTTCTCGTTTCTGCCGGATAAAGATAAATCGTCGCCATCTACCAAACTAATTCGTCTTTTGTCCTGACAACTGTCTAACTGAAAAAAAAACAAACGCACGGATCGTAATTGAAAGCTTAAGCTTCTTCGATTCCTCTTTTTTATTTATATGTCTTCATAATTGTTTTTCCTTTGTTTCAGCAGTTAATCCAGATAGCAGATTCACATGTCCCAGAAAAGGAGTGCTGGAATATGACGATTTACAGCAAATATTCCAAGAGTTACGTATATGTACGTAACAACACCGTGAGAGCGGATTCAGAAGATAAAAGTGAGTTTTGTTTAAACAAAAAAAAATTAAGAAATTTGTGACTAATTTCGTTGTTTGTTTTTAATTGTTGCAGCGTACTTGTATAGCATAGGATTAGAGAATTCGATAAAGTTCTTCCTTTACGACCCGGTGAGCCACAAGTTCATCTGCATGTCGAAGGAGGGCCGGCTGATAGCGAAAGTGAGTGCAGATGTCGCCACCGTCGATTACCATTTACTAATTGTTTTTTTTTTTCTTCTTATTTGTTTGTTGATCAGAAGGTGCCGCGGACCGATTTCTGCACGTTCGAGGATCGAGTGTTCGCGTTCGGCACATCGTACATCCAGTATGTGCAGCCCCATTACAAGCAGGCGATCAAGTTCAGCAAGAGAGGTCGCTCGCTGCCGCGACAGTTCCGCCACCCCAACAGCCACAACGACATGTCGGCCTTCCTCTCCAAGAAGGAGTTCCTCGAGATGGACGAGTGCGACCATCTGAAGCGCGGCTTCTGCTGCAGGATGCGAAGCAAGAGGCGATTTTACGCGAAGTTACCAAAAGAGTTAAGGACATTATGTAGGAGCATACTACCCTCCGAGAAATACTGTCATAGATCGTGAATCACATGTTTACATTTATACATATGTTATCTATTATATCTATGCTAGAGCTAGGTAAAAAAAGAAAAAAAAACAGCTGAAGATTTACCAAGCCATGACGTAACGAACAAAACAAAAAAACAAAAGCGAAAAGTACGCATATGTATAAATACATAAACAATATTTAAACAAAACAAAAACGATAATAAAACGAGAGAAAGAGTGAGAGTGAAAGGGATGCGTGCGAGAGAGAGATGAAGATTGCGATGAGGAAGCGATGATGTTGATGATCATAGAAGCAAGTGCCATTTTTTTTTGTTGTTTCGTTTCATTTGTCGCGCGCCGCCCACGATAATTAAGTAATAACAATTGCGAAACGTTTCCGTTTTTTTTCTATCGTATACTAGCAAACCATGAGTAACCAAAAAAAACAAAAATTGCAAAAAAAACACGAGCTTGCGTAACTTCCGATAGATGGAGCGGCTAATATATACATAAATATATATATATATTTAACGACGATGGCGTTCGAGGAGACTTAGTGTACAAATTTGTTTCTAATTCTATATATAAATATGTTTCTTTTTGTATGATGATGATGATAATGATGATTTCCTGACCCCCGTGGGGTCCAAACTCTTGCGCGTTCCGAGCAGCGCCCTCTACAATCACCCCCCTTTTTAAAACATTTGAAAAAACAAACGAAAAATCAAGCAACAACAACCACCTTATTATATTTAATTTGTATTATATAGCGCGCGTGTGTGTGTGCTGCAGCGGTGTTAATAATATTTGTAAATTTATTATTATTAATTTTTTTTTTCTATTATTTATTTTTTTCTATATACACCCTATATATATATATACTAATTAAAAACGCATGTGTGAGTGTGTGAGACTGTGTATATATGTGACGTGTGTAGACGCCAATCGACGGGCAGTGAAACTAAAAAAAAAAACAAAAAACAAACGTATTATTTTATACAACTATTCTCAATTGTTTTTTTTTCCTTCTTATTATTTTTTTTTTGTATTAATAATTTATATGAATATATTTATGGATGAATTAAAAGAAAACTACTTAATTATTATTATTTCTTTTGTCTTTTCTATTATTTTATAATTTAATTAAAACAAAAAAAATTCGATTGACGCCTAGACACAGCACTCTATTCCCCCCTTTAAAACCCCCCCTTGTACGCAATGTAATTGCAAATTTATATATTTACCAAATAATAAAATGAGGTTATGATAAAAATTAATTTATGATGTAACAAAAGAAGCAAGCTGGAAAACAAAACAAAACACGAACGAACAATTGTTTTATTCATTTTTTTTTTGTTTTCTCTCTCCAACCCTGGGTACTTTGTGTGTCGTGTATGTGTGTATGTATATATATATATGAAGACTATATGTATTCAACAGCGAAATGAAGAAAAAAAAAACAGCTGAACATCTTCTTCTTCTTATTATTGTTTTATATTTTTTTTTTTTGGTTATGTAACGGAGAAGAAGAAGAAGAAGAGAAGAACAAAACTAGCCTCAATTTACAAGATCTGTGCCATTGTATTGTAAACATTCCAATCAAAATATCCATAAAAAAAAAATTAAAAAAAAAACAACTAAATATATAATATGATAAATAAATAAAATGAAATAAACATTACGATTTCTGTGTGGTTTCTTTCCTGTTTCTCTCTCTCTCTCTCTTTTTAGATTCACAGGGTTCTTTGATATACGTAAGGTAAGTAAGTATAAAGTGTGCGAGAACACCCGTGGTGTTTTGTTTTCGAGCTCTCTTTTTTTTTGGCCGGTTTTGTTTTGTTTGGGGAGCAGCCAACCGTGGAAAAAGGGAGCAGATGGGGCGAATTCGATAGATACACCACCTTTTACGGTTTTTATATATATGTGTCTTTTCTTCTTCCCTTGTTGGTAAAAAGACCACCCCAAGATCGACTGCAAATTACGTCGGTCACATGAAATTGAAAATTTCCAAGAAATTGGTCTAAATCCTATTGATTTTCTGTAGATCGAGGTATTCTTAGAAAGCTGGAATTCAGTTTAGTTTCAGAGAAAATTCTTCATTAGGACTAATTGAGGTATATGATCTATTTGCATTTAATCTGCAACTAAGAGACATAATCATAAGAAATACAATTATTTAAATTAATTCATTCAATTCCTCATAGTTTTAGTATTAATTAACATATTTTTTTCAGTGTATTTCCATAATTCAAACTAATATTACAAGAAAACTATAAATTTTACATTTGTTTAAGTAAATCCATATAATTCTCCATACTTTTAGCTTTAATCAACTTATTTTGGTTCTAATTTACCATTAGGACTAATCGAGATATTTGCTCTATTTGCATTTAATCTGCAACTAAGAGAGACAACCATAAGCATTACAATTATTTAAATAAATTCATTGAATTCCTCGTAGTTTTAGCATTAATTAACATATTTTGTATTGAATATAACATTCGCACTAATCGAGATATTCCTAAGAAAAACGAATCACTTGCAAAGTGTATTTCCTTAGATTTAAGTTAATATTACAAGAAAATTATAAATTTTACATTTGTTTAAATAAACCCATATAATTCTTCATAGTTTTAGCTTTAATCTACTTATTTTGTTTCTAATTTACCATTAGGACTAATCGAGATATTTGCTCTATTTGCATATAAACTAGAACTAAGAGAGACAACCATAGTTTTAGCATTAATTAACACATTTTGTATTGAATTTAACATTCGCACTAATCGAGATATTCCCAATTAAAACGAATCTTTTGCAAAGTGTATTTCCTTAAATTCAAGCTAATATTACAAGAAAACTATAAATTTTACATTTGTTTAAATAAACCTATATAATTCTTCATAGTTTTAGTTTCAATCTACTTATTTTGGTTCTAATTTACTATTAGGACTAATTGAGGTATATGCTCTATTTGCATTTAATCAGCAACTAAGAGAGACAATCATAAGCATTGCAATTATTTAAATCAATTAATTGAATTCCCCTCAGTTTTAACATTAGTTAACATATTTTGTATTGAATATAACATTAGCACTAATCGAGATATTCCTATGAAAAACGAATCACTTGCAAAGTATATTTCATTAAATTGAAGCTAATATTACAAGAAAACTATAAATTTTACATTTGTTTAAGTAAACCCATACAATTCTTCATAGTTTTAGCTTTAATCTACTTAATTTGGTTCTAATTTACTATTAGGACTAATTGAGGTGTATGCTCTATTTGTATTTAATCAGCAATTAAAAGAGACAACCATAAGCATTACAATTATTTAAATTAATTCATTAAATTTCTCATAGTTTTAGCATTAATTAACATAATTTGTAGTGAATATAACATTCGCACTAGTCGAGATATTCTTAAGAAAAACGAATCACTTGCAAAGTATATTTCCTTAAATTCAAGCTATAAATTTCACGTTTGTTTAAATAAAACCATATAAGTCTTCATAGTTTTAAGTTTAACCTACTTGTTTTGGTTCTAATTTACAATTAGGACTAATTGAGTTATTTGCATTAAATCTGCAACTAAAAGAGAAAACCATAAGCATTTCAATTATTCATTGAATTCCTCACAGTTTTAGCATTAATTAACACATTTTATATTGAATATAGCATTCGCACTAATCGAGATATTCATGAAAAAGAAACTAATAAATTGAAATTGAAATTTCTTAAATTAAAGATAATATTACAAGAAAACTATAAATTTTACATTTGTTTAAACAAACCCATACAATTCTTCATAGTTTTAGCTTTAATTGACTAATTTTCCATTGACTATATAGTCGGTATTAATTGAGTAATTCGTAGAAACCTATTTGATAATTTACGAAATGATCTCAAAAAAAAAAAAATGTCATTTAACAATGCTCGAACTATTCTATCTAGAGAATGAAATTATCTAAGCTCAATATTGTTGATAAATTGCGGTTCGGATTAGAGGCGAGGATTAAATCGATTAGATTAATTCTCGGTGTCTCTTCCCACAACAATGCAATCAATGTAAGAAATTATTTTGTTGCTTTTTTTGTCATTCAAAGTGAACTCTGATTAATGATTAAAGGCTTTACGTATTATCGTTTAATACAATGTGATAAAGTTATTCTTTCTCGAAGAGAGACAAAAATTAGAATATGAAAAGAGATTTTCGATCAAAAAAAAAAGAATGTAATCAGTGAGAAAGGAAATTTATAAAAGAGAAAGAATCGAAGATCGTTGTAGTCGATAAAATTCCGTTCCGGAAGATTTGTGAGCGAAAATTTGTTATTAATTTTCATAAATTTATTACGTCGTGCGAGAAGAGGAGAAAGGAAAAAGAAAATGTTTGTTGGTGTGCGTAGATGTTTAGAAGAGAGGTCAGACTTAGTGTATAGTGTTAGTGTGTGTAGTGTAGTTTTCTAAAGGGATTTTACCAAAATAAATTATGGCTTTGAGATAAGGATCAGAGCCGATAGATAGAGTTTAAATGCACCCTCCTGCTCGAACGAAAGAACCGATCTCTTACCTTTCTCTTCATTTCTCTGGTCGCACCACACGAATCCTCTGCACGTCTTCAGATTTACAAAAATTTCAGTTTCTGCAACGAAAAAAAAACGAAGATAATTACAAGAATTATTATTATTAACAAACTATCCTTGGAAAAAAACAAAAGATTATACACAGATAACTAAGAAATTTTTCGAAAGAGAAAACTACGAATGACTCAACTAATGTATTTTATGTAAAAAAGTCAAGGAATTAACCCACGTGCAGGCTATAAAGTACGTAACAAAGTGTAAGTGAATTATGCAGATTATTTCGTTTTCGCGCCTCCACTTGCAGAGGAAAAGAAATATGTACACGGAAACGTCCTATTGTTCCAAAAAAACAAAACTTTTTGGGATTCTCTTTCCAGGAGAGATGGATGCGTGCGTGTGGGATCGTCCAGAAGATTTGCCAAAAAAAGGCACCGTAACGATCAATAAAAAGAAATATATACACACACACAAAAGAGGAATAAAGAAACTAAGAAAAAGAAAGGATATAAATTCCAGCAGCCACCCGCGGTTCTCCGGTAGTTACGGCCTTTCCTTATTAGAAAAACCTTCTTCTTCCCCGCTCGGCATTTGTCTTCGTACCTTCCTTGTTTTTCTCGTTCGTTTGTTTCAA